ACTGGGTTCCCGTCAAACCAGGACAACTCAACCTTGGGCAGTTCTAAACTGGCAGCTGGCAGGCTCCTAGCGCTTGCTTTGGGCATATCAACATTCTCACGTTGGCAATGATTACTCTCTTCAGGAGAAATTTCATCCAATGCGCATTGTTTCAAATATCCTGAGACATGCGCGACGGAATCCACGGGTTGACGGTCGTCATCGGACATATCTTCATCGGTCCCTTCCTCTATCCTTGCTAGCTCTGTCCTTTTTTCTGCGTCAAAAATAGCCCCTTGGAGTTTGAACTCACGTTTAACTCGCCTCTCTTCTATTTCGGCTATTTTTAAAGCTTTAACTGTTTTACTAGAGCTACGACTACTACTAGAAACGTTCTTACAAGAGCCGGACTGGACGTCTTTCTTCAGCTCTCCTTGTCCTTCGAAGGCACCTGGTTTGTCTAGTCCGAAAGACTGTTGCGTACCGTCCGATTCATTCTTCATGGAACGCGTCTGCATTTGATGAAAGTAATTTCCTCCAATTTCTGGTAGGATGTTGAGTACTGTGGAATTCTTTGCTGACAAATTGACGCGTATAAGCCAAAACAGATTTCGGTGTTTATACGCTACTATTGATAGAATAAAGTAATAATGAAAAAACGTACAAACCTCAACAGCAGATACCCTGGACAAAGAATTCCTTTGTTATTGTTCGAGCAGATCGAAATACCAGCTCAAGGTCAGAATACAAGACTAGTTAATTAAAAGAACGCCGATCGCGCTCAAAAAAGGTTACAAAAGGGGAAGGGGAATGTCAACAGGGGCCAAATGTGGAAGCACTTGAGAGGAGGGCGTGGAGAATTCCAAGCGTTGACCAGCTGGATACAACAATATCAGATGGCATTTTTCGGGTGAAAGGGCATCTGCCACTCACTACTGCATTCGCTGAGTTTTCTGAGATCAGTTTCAATTGTTTTATGAATATTGGCTACTGTATTCCTGTTATATGCATATGCAATTTTAAGGTCGTCCGCATACAAAAACGTCTTAGCTGAGACAGATATGGACGATAAGTCGTGAATATAAATAAGAAATAGAAGGGCGCCTAGGATAGTGCCTTGAGGTACTCCACTGGTAATAGGGAATTGTTCTGAGACTACGTTTCGAATTTGCACCACCTGGTATCGGTCTTGAAGATAGGATTTAAGAAAATCGTGAAGGGGTGGCCTAATTCCATGACTTTTTAGCTTTATTAGTAGTCTTTTATGGGGGACTTTGTCAAAGGCCTTTCTTAGATCGAAGTATATTGAAGCTACTGTGTTTCCATAATCTCTATTGCTGGAAACGAATTCCAAAAAGTAGGGTGGCAGGACTGACATAACCTTTTAGGTAAAAATGCATGTTGAGAGGAGGGAATGAGGTTGGCGTTCATGAGATGGTCTAGCAATTAAGTGTTTACTATTTTCTCGAGGATTTTAGCTATAGCCGGTTTTCGGTGAACACCACGATAGTTTTGGGTATGATATCGGTTGCCGCTTTTAAAGATAGGTGTGGTGGTCGAGTATTTCCACATGTCCGGAAAAAGTGCATTTGACTGGAGTAGGGTGAATAACTTAGATAGGACTATTGGAGCACATGTCATATGCTTCAGAATACATGGTGGGATTTTGCCTGTCCCATAGGATTTGGTGTTTGAGAGTTGTTTGATAGCTACTTTAACAGTTTCTTCACTAAAATGGATCTCAATAAGGATGCGTTCAGTCATGTCGGTCGGTTGGGGGTGTTATGACCCGCCTGGTACGTGAAATCCTGTGGAGCGTATGCGCACTCGACCCTTGTCCCCAATACCAACGCGGCAGAGAAGGAGAACGCGACCGGCCACGAAACTGTGTATTAGGAAAATGCAAGTCAGAATGAACTGGAAGCAACGCGTATTTATAACGCCTTACGGTGCTTCGCCGGCGTTCGGCCCAATGCCCTTCGGGAAGAACATTCGAGACGAGCCGGTCAATAATTCGAATATGCTGATCGATCAGGCCCGAGAGGAAAAGCCAATGGAGAGGCGCCACGAGTAAGATGACAGCGCAGTGGAGAAAACGCACGTGGCCTCCCGTGATTGGCTGGCTCTCGTTTTTGGGAGTATAGGCGCTCCCAACAGCTCCCCTCCAAGTAGGTCAGTACCGCTTCTGGCGTGGGTTGACCTGCATCAGACGTGTTGATCGGCGAACGCGGTTGGTCCGGCGTCTTAATCGTGGTTTAATGCCTGGAGATACGGGAGCGGTAACTGATACCGAAGATGGTATATCCGAAGGGGGCGCAGAAGTGGGTTCGGGAACCGACTGATCTGTCGGAATGGCGAAGGTATCCAGTAGGATGTCGAGAGAGCGAGTAACGGCGCCGAATCGAGCCCAGTTGTGTTACTGCAATGTCGCCGTCGGATCTGGTTGTGGTGGCGAACCCAGATGTCATCACCAACGTCGACGTCAAACAACATACTGCCTCTGCGCGATACTACAGTTGCTTCAATCCAGTCTGGGAACCCCGCTCGATAATCACGAACGAAGACAGGTGTTCCGATGGAGAGCTTGCTGCGAGAAACTGGAGAAGTCTGCGCGGGCTGCGCACCGGTAGGGACGAGGGTATGAAACGTTGTACGCAGTTTTCGGCCCATCAACGCTTCGGCAGGAGAAACACCACCAGGGGACGCCGGGTTCGGTGTCGTCCTGTATGAAAACAGGAACGCCTGGACCATCTCGTCCGTGGTCTCCTCCCCACGAGCTTTCAAGAGGGCTCTCTTAAACGTGTCGACAAAACGCTCCGCCTGACCGTTAGACTGAGGATTGTAGGGCGGGGAGCGAAGATGCTGGATGTTGTGCTGGCGGCAGAAATCTTCAAACGTCGACGAGATAAACTGAGAACCATTATCTGAAGCCAGGACTTCTGGTAAGCCATGCTGGCTAAAGATGCGTCGTAGGAAGGCGATAGTGGCAGATGCGGTTGCTGGATTCAGCGGAGCAATCTCGGGCCATTTCGAGTAGGCGTCAACCAAGATTAGGTAGGAGACTCCGTTAAGTGGGCCAGCGAAGTCGATATGCACGCGTGACCAAGGCCTCTCCGGTGGTTGCCAGGGCATTGGAGGTTGACGAGGCGGCATCTTGGCAGCTTGCTGACATCGAGAACAGCGTCGAACCAGGTCGTCGATGTCGCCGTCGACACCCGGCCAGTAGGCAAAACTGCGAGCAATAGACTTCATTCGGCTGGTACCAGGATGAGCGGCATGGAATTGGCGTAGTACAGTGGGCCGGAGGGAAGATGGGATCACCATACGGTCTGCAAACATGAGGCAGGAGTCAACCACAGATAGCGATGCTCGGCGGAGGAAGAGCTGGCGAAGATCGCCAGCGAGAGCAGTAGTTGGCCAGCAGGTCTGCACGTAGGTGATGGCCTGGCGGAGGACAGGATCCTGTTCAGTAGCACGTCGGATGTCTGCGGTAGTGACAGGATATTTCGTATGGCGTCTGATAGCTGACGGCGCACACCGTCCTCAATCGGAATAGCTGCAATCACGGTATCTTCCTCCGGTTCCTGCTGATTGCTGATGAGGCGAGAAAGGGCGTCAGCCTGACCAAAGTCTGTAGTACGACAGTAGCGAATGTTGAAGTTGTAGCCAAGAAGGATGGTTGCCCATCGCTGAAGTCGGCTGGCTGAGTAGACGGGAATGCCCTTCGTCGAACCGAAGATTGACAGCAATGGTTTGTGATCCGTCAACAACGTGAAGTGGCGACCGTACAACAGTTTGTGAAATTTCTTGACGGCAA